AGCCATCTCTTTCCCAAGCCCAGCCACCCGCTGGTCCCACTTCTCCACATCCGATGAGGCCCCAACCCCCTACCGCCCCCCCTGCACCCCCCCCCCCTGACAAACCATTTCTCTCCCAGCACCTCCCTGCTGCCTCCACCCGCTGCTTTCCCTCGGCTCTGAACACTCTCTTCCATCTCTCCCTTACTCTCTCCGTCCTACCTCGTCCGCCCACCCAACTCCCCGTTGCTACGATTGGCGGGATTCGTGATTAGCCGATATATTTCTGTGGTTGTTGTCCTTGTTGTTGTTGTGTCTCTCTTTCTGTGCGAGTTTCGTGTTGTCACGAGCGCCTGCTTCTCAAAGCTGGCCGGACGACTGGCTGGCTGCATGGACGGACGAATGGATGGGCCGGCCTCAGCACTGCATTAAAACATTTAGGATTCATCAATAAGGGCTTCCCGCCGGGAGACGGCGCGAAAAGCAAACGTATCGAGTGGCATCAGATCTGACCTTTTTAAAAAAAAAATTGATTAACATTTCTGCCACGCAGCCTCGCCAACGCCGCGGCTCTTTGATTCGTCCCAACTCCTCGCTCCCTCTCGCTCCTCACCGTAACTCAAAGAGCTCAGGTCGGACCGTGCCTCCGCATGCAGCTTGTTAATTGGGCAGTTTACACAGGCGAGCTCATATTTTAGCAGCCCAACATCCTCCGGTGTTGTTTGACCTTTGCATCTTTTCGCGCAAAAAAATACGCACACACACGTGAGTCGACTCGCTCGCAATGGAAGGTGCCTTAAGACGTTGATGAGTCGTCACCCGTCGGATGGGTTTGTCCGTCATCTCTTGCCGCCTTGTTGTTGTTGGGTCACCCAAATCGGCGGTAGAGCGAGCGGCTCGCGATCGCAAGGTCGCCGGGTTCAAATCCAGGCTGGGATTTGACTCCTCAGCTCATCATTCCTTACTGGGCGGGGGGTCGATAAAATAGTGCCCCATTGCAGGGAGGAAGCCATCGACACAGATGAACGTCCCGTGGATGAACTTGCCACTGGCATAGGAATGTGGGATTTCCACGACTGGCTCTGCAGGGGGGCTGTCAACGTGAAATGAGCACCAATGGGTCGATGCTCATTTCAGTAGGAAATCAGCTGCGACTGTTTGTTTACTTTAGTGGGTGACTGCCGGGGGGTGCGGCGATGACAACGCGTTTCTGTGCCGACACGCGGTGAATCGCCGTGGCCCGCATCGATTATTTGCTGCGCGCACAAACGGGGCACCGATTTGCGCACAAATTCTCTTCGCTGGTTTTGACAAAAGGCTTTGTTGGGCCCCCTCCCCCCTTCAATGGCCTCGCGGTGGTCTAAACGCCCGTTTAAAGAGACGTGAAACGGGAGCGAGATGAGAAAAAGACAACGGATAGAGGCCACGAGCTCGCCCCGCGTGCGTGTGCGCGCCCACATTTCTCACGCGATTGTTGTTTTTAATTAAACAACAAAAAATGGTTGAACGCACACGCGCGTGCGTCGTCCCGCCGTGCAGATAAGCACTCAATTTACTATAAATGGTGGATATTAAAGGGTTAATAAGCCCTTTACCTGTTGTAATCGATAACTCATCACTCGGCATAATCAATACACCTGTCAGTTCCGCCAAATTAACTTCCTTTCACTCGCAGCGCGATTTCTTGGCGGAGGCTTGCGCCTTGGCGACAGATGACAGCGCGGAACAAACCATGCAGAATTGTTTTCAATTGTTTTAGTTTTGTGCCGAGCGAGTCCCAGTTGCCTGATGTGCTCGGAGTGAAACTCATCGCGTTTTTTTTCTTTCTCTTGCCACCTTGCCAATTGAAACGCCTTTGGCATGGTCAGGTCAGTGTCGTTTATAGAACACGGTACATTTGTGGTCTCCAGTGTAGTAAGTACAGCAATGGGAGATTCTTGAACACAGTAAACTTACTAAGAACTAAATGAAACTTTTTATTTTACCTGGTGAGGCCCACTAAGCTACTCTTTTTCAGAAGTGACCTGGCCACAAATGATGGCTAAACAAAGTGGATTATTACGTGGACATTTATAGCAGACAAATACTCCAAACGCACGATTCTAGATGTGGAGGGAAAAACCGAAGGACCCGGAGTTAAATCCCCGTGGCCACGGGGAGAGAGGGACGCAAACTCCAAATAAAAAAACAGCGTCAGGATCGAACCCACGACCTCCTGTATACCAGGCGAGGTATTTAACATCTCACCACCGCAGCACCCCAGTACACTGGGGATTCCGTGTGATTCATAACAGATTCTAGAACACAGTACATTGGGGACTCCACTGTAAGCAATTGCAGATTTGAGAACGCAGAGAAATTAACGAAACGAGTGCACGTGAGTGTTGGCCTGATAACGCAGCAGAACTGGGGGTGTGCCATATCTGCACCGCCCAGGTCAGGTGTCGACTGTGCCACTACCGTGACACCAGGCAGCAGGAAGGAAGTGACGGCACAATGTGGAGGTGGAATGCCTCAGCCAGTGCAAGCCAAGGAGCTGCATCTTAATGCGGGAGTGGGGGGGGGTCACACGGAGGGGCGTTGCTCTACATCGGAGGGCCGTGGGCTCAGACACGGATGTAGATGGATATAGGAAGGGATTGTTATACGGTGCATTACATTAACTGGGCGGTTGTTTACCCACCAAAGCCTCGGCGGTTCCTAAGACTTTTTTTTAATGAAAGTTCTGCATTGGGATGTTTTGCCAAACGCCATTACCGAGCGGTTTGGCTCGTGGAAGGAAATCAGGGTTTAATCATCGCAGAGTTGATTGGTTAAGGATTTGTAAGAAGGGAGTAGTAATATAATATTAAGAAGAATTCACAGCCCTTTGTCAATACGCCTGCCTCTCATATTGCATGTTGGTCACGGTGGTTGTTTGACCATCCATACATTACCATGCTGGTCAATGTGGGGAGGGGGGGAGTGTGGGGCAGCCAAGATGGTTCTGATATCACCGGTCTCCGATCATCATTGGAAGGTCCAACTCAGGTTACCAGGGTTCGTAGTCTTGCGCGCTATCCACTGTGCCACCGCTCCGCCACATAAAGCACGTCATCTGGAACGCACACAATACGAAAAGCCATCACCCCAGTCACACGTTCCCGACGTTGGGACATCACGGCGCTCCCCGCACGCCAATTGACTTTACGGCCACAGACGCGACTTTTTAATATCGATGTGGATTCAATGATGCATTGTCTCCAACGGTGTGGATATTTAATGCGCTCGGCGGTGGTTCCTTTGCTGGCGCCGATTCTAACGCCCAAAGCCGGCGTCCGGCTGAGTAGATTTGGAAACGAAGGAGAAGGGAGGGGGGGTGAGCGGCTGAATATCTCAGCAGTACGACACGTGGACGTGTCGCGGGACGGATGTCCCTGCGTGCGCACGTGCGTGTGAATTAATCGGCTGCGTTCTGTGATGTCGGCACCATCGAGGATGGGGAAAGCAGCGTGAACCCAGGGACAGGGGCAGTGGCATACGGTCAACACCGGTGACGAATATCTGAGCCGGTTCTGGGCCTCCCCCTAGGTCGACTCGGCCTCAAATGAGTACCTGTTGCGGTGTGTACAAACATCGTCACTGGGGAGACAAAGGCGGCCGAGCGTGGTGCTGGCCACCCACCCCCCTCGTGTGCCGTGCCGGCCTTCACAAGGGGCTCTTAAACAGCACTTGCCCCAACAGTCTCTTACAGGCTGCTACGGGCGTGCGCATTTACGCGGCTGCTTTCTATGATGTAGGCATCATTAAGCAAGGGGAGAACAGCGTGAACCGGTGACAGGGCCCAACACAAGGGACTACACGCTTTGTTTCACCAGCACAGCGCCAGTGGTGGAGCCACGGCTCACTCTAATCCGTGCGCGTGTTTGATCGCCGTGGGGGGGGTGTGGGCGTCTGAATGCGGCCGTCTCCAAAGGGACAGCGAGGCGCCTACGTCGTTAGTGCATCCCCGCTAAGGTTTTTTTTTTTGGGGGGGGGGGGGGGGGGGGCTCACCGCCGTCGTCCCCGCCGGCTGTTGGCTTTCTTCGCGGGGCGAGCGGGGCAGGGCGTGTGGTGCCCGTTGCGACGTTCCGTGGATTTTTAACTTGAAAGAAAAAATTACTGCGCCTTTTCGTTCTTTTCGTTGAAGCAAAGGAACCCAATTACGGAAACGTCCTCGCGCTCCGTGTTCGTGGAGAAGCGCAAATAGATATGGACATGAAAAGCGGATCAGAAACGCCTCGGAAACTCGATTTTTCTTCCGGTGGAGATAAACCGAAACGATAAACATGACGCTTAGGTCGCCGCCCTTGAGTTGCCAATCAAACTTAACAATGTATGAACAGAGCTTATTGTTGTGCACATTTTAGTTTTTTGGACTTTTGTTGTTCTACCCGTTGAGACATGCAACCGCCACCAGCCATATATCTATCGTAAAAAAAGCACTGTATTGGAAGTCTATGCCTAATAAAACAATGAAAACAAAGAAATAAATTGTCTGCCTGCAACGGTTTCAATCTAAAGGCTTGAGAATCAGGGGCTCATCCACGCGTTGGACTGTGTCCTGCGAACGGAATGGTTCCCGGTGGTTCCTGGGTAGATTACACACAGGCTAAGGGGAATTCTAGCACACGACATTTACACCACAATTACACTTCATCTAGCCAACGGCTGGCTAATGATTCGCTCCCTGGCCTGCTGTCCGTGGCCTTCTGTATAAAAGTTCCGTCATTTTCGCAATCAGCGTTCACGTCGTCTTGCCGACGTGAGAAATACGCGCACTCCAAACTGTGAGGCTTTAAACTAAATCCTAAATGTTGTTGGTGTCTCTTGGCGACTTCTGAACGTGTTCGGAGCCCTCTGATACCCTGGTGAGACACCGGCTTTAAAGTGGGTGGAAAAACCCCAGATTCGAACTCACCTCCGTGTGTTCGAGAATGGCTGCAAGATGACTTTTTTTCCTTCACATTTCACGCGATGGGTGTTTTGTTGTTGCCGTGCAGGAATTGGTAAACATGCCGAGACCTTCAACTCGTCAACACTTGAGAAGCTGGCTTCATCACATACTCCGGCTGAAACCTCGAATCGAAACCCAGGACCTAGGCAGTGCCTGCTCTGCGCCATGACCTGTGAGTCAACTCCAACTATCTCCGTATTTTTTTTCTTAAACATTAAATGAATAATGAAAAGACCAATGACTTAATTTGCATAACTTCAATTTCTTTCCCCTCCCACTCCCGCTGTATTAAAATATTAATGCCGATTGGTTTTTAATTTTAAAACATGTCCACATGAAAGGGACACCAGTTTTGCTCCTTGGGAAGGTTTCCCCCCCCCCCCCCTTTCTAATTCCTTTTCATTACCCCGTGAGTTCATAACACGTGCGTTCAATAACGCCCTGCTCCAGCAGCGATTCACACGTAGCCCACCGACCAAATTCAAAGGCAGATTTAGTTTGAAGAGCAATTTAAAGAAAATCAGCCATATCGACTGACTTTGGGGCATTTCTCCCGCTGCTACTGCACGGTCTGTGGTTTAAAAAAATATTTAAAATACTCAAGACATCTCGTGTGCAGTTATTCATCGAGCAGTGGATTGACTAAAGGGGTCACTGAGTTACATCGCTTTATGTCCGAGTTGTATCAAACGGCGCGTGTGTAAAAGTATCGTCATCCGCCCCTTAAAGAATTATAATTGGACAGTAGAGTTGAACGGCGTGATTGAAATGTTCAGTAGCAGATTCCTTTGTGCGCTTTCGTGTTTTCAGCCGAAATGCGGCCGAGTGATCTTCAAAAAGGGCGCAGCGAAGAGAGCGTTCGAAACAATCGCAGCCGAGCCGACGGCGAAGAACGTCCCCCCCCCCCCGGGGGAGGACTCCCCACCAAACCTCGCCGCCAACAACGGCGCGGTGGATTTGTTTGTGGGAGTTCACACGGACGGACACGCCACGCGATGAAATGTTCACACCGCCAAGTGTGCGCTCGCAAGTCCGTCGTGTTTTTTGTTTTACCGCTCTCTGCGAACGTACGAGCCCCGCGGACGGATAGAGAACAAGATGCACCTCTTTCGGCAGCAGACCCAACCAATCCCCCCCCTCCCCCACCCCCTGAACTCTGGACCGTCGCGGTGAATCGTCGCATTTGGACGTCGCACGGACGGTTGCGCTCATCTCCCGCGCGAGTGGAAGACGGAAGCTCGTTCCACCCGCCGACGACCGCGTGGCGGACCGGACGATCAGTCGCCGCCCGTCCGTTGAGCGCAACGAGCGGTGGCGCGAAAGGAAACGCCGCCAAGTTCACGACCGGCGCCCTCGAATGGGCTAAACTGCAGCGGTCCCCAACCTTTTTGGCACCAGGGACCGGTTTCGTCGAAGACAATTTTTTCACGGACCGTGGGGGGAGGGGGGTCATCATTGGGTCTTTCCCCCTTTTCAAAGAAGCTCTCCAGCGACGTTTGTTTTTTACTGATTTTGGCTACTAGGGGTTAGCAGCTTGTGGGCTTACCAACACTGTGACTGAGATGAGTGTGGGAAAGAGGGGGCGGGGGTGGGGGGCACGCGCGGACTCACCGCTCTCACCTCCTGCTGTCCGACCCGGGGGTTGGGGACCGCCGGGCTAAAGGACCCGCGCGTCGATTCGTATCGTGTGCTTGTTCAAATAAATAGAGAAACAATCGGCTGCTCATCCCTTAAACACGACGCACAAAAATGACGAAGAAATGCCGCCTATTTTGAATTCTTATTAATAATGGATGAACCCATTACGGACACCGTGTGCGTGTGAGTGTTCCATACCGAGCAGTGGCAATGAGCTGCCTTGTGTCAGGCTGAACCGGGATCATTCGCCAGCGGTGGTGGATAGTGCTCGTAAATGATTACGATGATGATGATGACCTTTAAATATTCATCATGTTGCCTTAGTTTGGCTCTCTTGAGTCTTGGGCCCTTCCACTAAGCCCTCTCTATCATCATCATCATCATCAACAGTCAGCCATGATTTATCCACTGCTGGATGAGTTTGTCACAAGAGCCGCTGCCATCCCTCGTGGTCCCGTGATATGACAAAGTACCCAGCAACAGTACGTCATCTCGTTGAACCCTAAATATACCTTAGTTTGGCTTCATCAGACCTAGTGCATTTTTATAGATATCTTAGTTTGATCCCCGTCACTGCCATAGCCAAACAAAACTATACAGTTAAACACACATTGACCTACCAGACATGGCCGTAAAATAAAAAATATATAACAGGTAACGTTTCAGGCAATGGCTCTTCTTCATCACACATGGAGAGGCCAGGAGAGAGACGGTAAGAGTAGGAGACTGCACATTACACCAATTTGGTCTGATGATCTTTTTAATGATTTGTGATGACCAGTTTTTCAATTCAATTGGTGTATTAATAGTTACCTAATGACAGCTATTGAGAAACAGACACCTTCTGCTGAGAGGTGACTGATTGTGCGCATACCATGCCTTTTGAAATCGATCATCCCTGCCAAATCGCAACCCAATGTAGATACCCATGCTGACTACATCATCAAAATCATCGTCAAAATTATCATCATCAGCCACGATCAATGCGTGATGTGACGATCCGCCCAGTGGCATCTTGCTGGTGTTGCCTCTCGGACTCGTTCCATTCCTTGGCTGCTATTCCGAGGGAGCTCTGGAGAGAGAATCTTAGCCAATCTGCTCAGCTGGTCCAGGCATCTTGGAGAAGAGGTGAGGGAGAACCCACAATTTACCCCACCACACGCGGTCTGCTGATCGGATTAGTAGTTGGGCACAGGTGGTGCATCGGCCAGTCATCTCACTCCACGTGGCCTCAACGTGCACATAGCCCGGCACGAGCGCCGTGGTGACGTCACCGCCACTTAGTGGCGAATGGCGGTTGTTGTTTTTGGTGGGGGATTTAGGTCGACTCAGCCTCAAATGAGTACTTGGTATGGTGTGCAAATATTACCGGGCGTCGTGCTGGCCACCCAGGCCCTCGCTGTGTGCCGTGCCAGCCTTCATAAGTGCCCACTAACAGCACTTGCCCCTACACTCTGTTAAGGCGACACGGGGGATCTTTGTCTTTGTGGTTTCACGAAACTTGCACCGTTGTTTCAACTGCCTCGCCGGGGAACCGAATGAAACTGGCGTACCTATGGATACAAATTCCAGCGTGCTAAGGGACAGCAGTAAACCTGGATTCATATTATTGGTTCCTTCGGCAAAGTCATGTAGAAGGGAAATAATAAAATAGTACAAATAAAACATAATTAAATAAAATTCTCACGACGTTTCGGCCACAACGCAAGCAGCCGTCCTCGGGTGAAGAACAGGTCTGTCGGAAAGACAGCGTCCCAATGAACACCGCTAAGCTTGGCAGCGTATTTTAAGCTGGGTGGGAGGAGCAGAGAGCCTTGACAAAGGAGTTTACATATCAAAGAAGAATTTAGCATGTTGATGATAAATGCAGATATGGGGTTAGTCACTCCTTGTGGAATGTGCAGGCGGTGGGGGGGGTCTCAAAGTCATATTATGCTAGTGTATTATGTAGGATTAGCAGCAATAAAGGAATGGCATTTTTTTTTATAATTCTAAAGAACTGCAAATACCCTACTACCATACAATAAACCGATGTGAAAAAAATTAATTAAAATTACATCAATTTCATCAATGTACTCAATATGTTCTCCAATAAGCTGAGCTATTAACATTAACTAGGTATACACTACACTATATAATGACTTATTATATCTTCCAATCTGAACTACACTGTATAATATCGTATACACATCACCAGATTCCAAGAACACAGGATGAGATGTTACTATCCTAAGCTCTAACATTATGCATTATATTCATATGCCTCCAACTAAACTCTTTTCTACATCACGCGACTATACAGCGTACTGTACACTGCCATTGACAAACCCCAACATTGAATTACACACAGCTTTACTATACACCACCCTTTACCTTAGACTATACATTGTAATATTACACTATGTATTATTCTACAAACCCTACTGTATACCACACTGCTGTATATTCACTAACCACTTACGATACTATATATTTCCTCATACATTATATTAAACATTATAATATTATACTATGTATTATTATACAATCTGCCTAATGAACACTGCTAAGCTTGGCAGCGTATTTTAAGCTGGTTGGGAGGAGCAGAGCGCCTTGACAAAGGAGATTCCATATCAACAGAGGAATTTTGCATGTTGATGACAAATGCAGATATGGGGTTAGTCACTCCTTGTGGAATGTGCAGGCAGTGGGGGGTCTCAAAGTCATATTATGCTCGTGTATTAATAGGATTAGCAATAATAAAAGGGACATTTTTTTATAATTCTAAAAGAACTGTAAATACCCTACTACCATACAATAAACCGATGTGAAAAAAACGAATGAGACCTCGTGTTGTAGTGCTTTTATTTCACGCGGACAACTTATTTTTCTCCTGTGTCACTTGTTATTGAACAGAACTCCTCGCGTTCAACACCACGCGACTCCATAGCAACTCTCCTGCTCGCGTCGCTCACTCTGCTCTCTCCTAGCCTCTCCACTGCTAGCCTGCTCTCTCTCACTCTCCTAGCCTCTCCACTGCTAGCCTGTTCTCTCTCTCACTCTCCTAGCCTCTCCACTGCTAGCCTGTTCTCTCTCTCACTCTCCTAGCCTCTCCACTGCTAGCCTGTTCTCTCTCTCACTCTCCTAGCCTCTCCACTGCTAGCCTGTTCTCTCTCTCACTCTCCTAGCCTCTCCACTGCTAGCCTGCTCTCTCTCTCACTCGCCTAGCCTCTCCACTGCTAGCCTGTTCTCTCTCTCACTCTCCTAGCCTCTCCACTGCTAGCCTGTTCTCTCTCTCACTCTCCTAGCCTCTCTACTGCTAGCCTGTTCTCTCTCTCACTCTCCTAGCCTCTCCACTGCTAGCCTGTTCTCTCTCACTCTCCTAGCCTCTCCACTGCTAGCCTGTTCTCTCTCTCACTCTCCTAGCCTCTCCACTGCTAGCCTGTTCTCTCTCTCACTCTCCTAGCCTCTCCACTGCTAGCCCGTTCTCTCTCTCACTCTCCTAGCCTCTCTACTGCTAGCCTGCTCTTTCACTCTCCTAGCCTCTCCACTGCTAGCCTGTTCTCTCTCTCACTCTCCTAGCCTCTCCACTGCTAGCCTGTTCTCTCTCACTCTCCTAGCCTCTCCACTGCTAGCCTGTTCTCTCTCACTCTCCTAGCCTCTCCACTGCTAGCCTGTTCTCTCTCTCACTCTCCTAGCCTCTCCACTGCTAGCCTGTTCTCTCTCTCACTCTCCTAGCCTCTCCACTGCTAGCCCGTTCTCTCTCACTCTCCTAGCCTCTCTACTGCTAGCCTGCTCTCTCACTCTCCTAGCCTCTCCACTGCTAGCCCGTTCTCTCTCTCACTCTCCTAGCCTCTCCACTGCTAGCCTGCTCTCTCACTCTCCTAGCCTCTCCACTGCTAGCCTGCTCTCTCTCACTCTCCTAGCCTCTCCATTGCTAGCCTGTTCTCTCTCTCTCCTAGCCTCTCCACTGCTAGCCTGTTCTCTCTCTCTCCTAGCCTCTCTACTGCTAGCCTGTTCTCTCTCTCACTCTCCTAGCCTCTCCATTGCTAGCCTGTTCTCTCTCTCTCCTAGCCTCTCTACTGCTAGCCTGTTCTCTCTCTCTCACTCTCCTAGCCTCTCCACTGCTAGCCTGCAACGGTTTCAATCTAAAGGCTTGAGAATCAGGGGCTCATCCACGCGTTGGACTGTGTCCTGCGAACGGAATGGTTCCCGGTGGTTCCTGGGTAGATTACACACAGGCTAAGGGGAATTCTAGCACACGACATTTACACCACAATTACACTTCATCTAGCCAACGGCTGGCTAATGATTCGCTCCCTGGCCTGCTGTCCGTGGCCTTCTGTATAAAAGTTCCGTCATTTTCGCAATCAGCGTTCACGTCGTCTTGCCGACGTGAGAAATACGCGCACTCCAAACTGTGAGGCTTTAAACTAAATCCTAAATGTTGTTGGTGTCTCTTGGCGACTTCTGAACGTGTTCGGAGCCCTCTGATACCCTGGT